CTTCTCCACTATTGGCAGTGTTTTAACCATTAGATTGCAGTATGCAAATATGAACCGAAATTGAGTAGTATTATATGGAAAGGCGTTGATCTATGGTGAAAAAAAAAACCAGAAAACCTAGTGCATTTAATGTACGGCTTCGAAAAACGTCCAGATTTATCTTGTAACTTACTGCATGTTTCCTCACTTCAGCCCACTTATTTTGCGTATCCTAATCACTTTGTTCTCCCTCTCCTGCCTACGCATCCAGCTACTGACTGTTCGTCGCCGACTGCGACTCCTCTGCGATCTGCCTGACTGCGATGAAAGCCTGTCTTCCGCGACAGCCACAGTAACAACCTTGAGAAGCCTTTTCGTGCACCTGCGAACCACCTGTCTGCCCTTCCTGCGTATCGCTGCCTTCATCATGCAGGAGATTACAGCCATTGATGTGCCCGACGCCGCCACGCTCTGCCAGCCGTCTGCCGGTAGTTTTTTGTTATTGCTTCTCCTTGCTTGTAAATGTAAGCATACATGCAGTGATTGCTTAAGATGTATCATGCTATATTTCATGTTACGCACCTGAGCATCCAACAGACATTGTATGTGGTAATTCGTGTTAGAGCCGACCCTTTCGCAGCTGACGCTATTTTCCGGTTCAATAAGGTTGCAAGACCTAAATGTAGTCTTTGGCCTTTGTCCTGGTGAGTCAGGTTCCAATGCATCAACTGACTGCGGACATGTGCGTTCTTTCTGTTTTTCCTACGTCCACTTATATAGACAAACCAGTGGATGAGTTCATCCTCCTACTGACTTATCTGGGCCTGCCACTGGGACCCGAGGACCTTCTCACCGTGTTGTCTGCAGAGTGCGCTCAAAGTGCTGACTTGGAAGAATCTTGCTCAATAAATTTACAGACGAGGGATTCTTCGACTTCCCTCTACTTGGCACGTCTCATTACTTCGTGGTGTCTTGCAGGCCGCTCCACCGACAGTCGGAAGCTCTATACCGACCTGCGCCAGCGTTTCCTATCCCAGTTGACAGAGCATCCAGGCCCTTTGCCAGAACCGCAGATGCATGTGCCCCGTCTCATTAGCCTGCCCCGGGAATACGTTAAGCTGTTAGCTATAGCCGACGTATGGAAGTAAGTCCGGTCCCTTTTCTTCCTCTACCCATCTCTCCATCATGTTTATATCTCAAGCACTGCTCTTACCCCTTACCGATCTCTGGACAGTTTATTTGCAGGTGGGAACAATGAAAGAAGACGTAATTTCTCAATATACTAGTACAAACATTAATATTTTGGTATGTCTTCCATGAAATAAATCAGTGAGAAGAATGCATATTACTTCAGCAGCCGCTATTTAGAGGCGGTCAGAGGGAAGTAAATTCGAGAGCCGACATCCTGACGCAACTGAAATGTTAAGAGTATATGATAATCTGTATTTAAAACCTGCTAAATAGGTTGCTCACCGGTCGGTTACAAAACTCACTCGTCGCTCTCAAGACCAGGCAGCAACTATTGGATGGTTATTGTATTATAAGCAGAAATAAATTACTGACAAAAACAGGGGAGACCAAAATGGCCATTTCTGGTTTATTAGCCATCATCAGCCAACCATACACAACCCCAGGGCTGTAGAACCCAGAGGCTAGCCGTTGAGCGGCTGCTGGCTGTGCTCGAGAGCGAACGCGAAGGCAAAACGTTACCGATCGGTGAACGCCTACCTACCATTGTATCTATTTTCTAGTCGAACACGTGGCGGAGTGGTTAAAGCAGTGAACATCGTGTTAACAAGGTCGCGGGTTCAAATCTCGGGACCGCCATCTCTAGGGTTGTGTATGGCTCGCTGATGACTGCTATGCCGGGCGGCTACAGGCGGGACTTAAAAATGAGTCCCATGGCAGAGCGGGACGATTGAATTCTTTTCGCGATCTGTGAACATTCAGCACCGAGTCTCAATATCTCCCAATCCAAATTTGCAAGACATCGAGATCTTGACTCACTAGTTACAGCATTAGACTTCTAGTTGAGCCTTGGGTGGGGCTCTACTCGGGGTTGGACATGAATGGCTGGTGAAGGTTAATGGGCCAGATCCCGATGATCGCTTGGGCATGCTTCACAGCAATATAAAGTAGCTGTCACTACTTTCTTCATCTTTCTCGTACACGACTCAATACAGTCTGCCGCCTGGGACAGCAACTCAGGATTATTTGCACAGTACATCTCTCATTCTAAGGCCGTTTTATTTTTATTTTCACCAACCCGGGATTAAGTTTCATGAGTATACTTACCTGAGTCCTCCTACTACATAGATGCTGTAAGTCTATTTGTTTAAGGTAGGTAGTCTCTTTCAAATGTTCTCCTATCTGACTGTTTCATCTGACATGCACAGGAATCAACACTCCGTGAGAGGTACATCTTTGCTTCCGAGCCTGTGCCTAGTCTGTGGCGCAGTTGCGTCATACTTCGACCCTCAAGTGGACTTGCTGTCTCGTTTGCTGAACATAGATTACTCTGCACCGAACTCCACTGAAATGGAAATGCACGTACGCCGCAATCATGCTGGCTACGCGTTCATTCTCCTGCTAGATTCGAGCAAGCTTTTTTGTCTTTCTGACGAGGCTCGGCGGATCACCAAGCTACCGGAAGTCTATCGAGATGAGTTTGGTGAACCTGATGTCAACCTGAGGTATGCACTTCTGTGTGACTGCTTCACATTATTTATTCTT